CGTATAGATCTTTATGAATTATCATTTTGGTTTTCTTTGGATAAACACCCAGAAGTGCATTTGCTAGGTCAAAAGGTATATCCATTTATAATTTTTTTGAGAGCCTCCATACTGTTTTATCATAGCGGCTGTATCAATTTGCAGTCCCACCAGCAGTATATGAGGGTTCCTTTTTCTTCACATCCTCTCCAACATTTTTATGATTTTTAAGTGTGCAATTCAGTGTCATTTGTTACATTCCCAATGTAAAACCATCACCATCATCTATATCCATAAATTTTTCATCACTCCAAACAAAAATTCCGTAACCATTAAGCAATAATTCCCTATCCCCTACCCCCACCCCCTCACACAAAATAACCTCTAATCTATGCGTTTCTATGAATTTATCTATTCTAGATATTTCATATAAGTGGACTTATACTATATTCATCTCTTTGTATCTATATTATTTCACTTAGCATAATGTTTTCAAGGCTCATCCATTTTGTAGCAGGTATCAGAACTTTATTCCTTTTTATGACTAAATAAGATTCAATTGTATGTAGATATACAATTGTTTTATTTAAACATTGGGATCTGGTAATGTAAACCTTTTAACTTTGTTCTTAGTCCAGCTTGCCTTTGCTATTTTTGGTTCTCTGATTTACCAAGTACATTTTAGAACCAATTTGTTAATTTTTACTAAAGCCTGCTGGGATATTTTTGAAATTCTGTTGAATTTGTAGATCACTTAACATCTTTACAGTATTAGGACATCTAATCTGTGAAAATGATAAATATCTCCATTTATATAGGTCTTCTTTAGTGCCTTTTTAGTAATAGTGTGCAGTTTTCAGTCCAGAGACCTGCACATATTAGATTAAATCCCCAGATAGTTGAAATTTTGATCCTATTATAAATGGGATTCATTTTAAATTTTATTTTCTCTTTGTTCTTGGTATATAAAAATATAATAGATATTTTATATTAAGCATGTATCCAGTGTCTTTGCTAAATTCACTTATTAATATTAATAGTTTGTAGAATCTTTTGCATTTGTTTTAAGTGCAAAATCATGTCATCAAATAGAGGTTTTTTCTCTTTTCAATCCTTATTATTTAATTTTTTTTCATACATTAAGACCTCCAAAACAATGTTTGATGGGAGTAGTGATAATGGGAATCCTTAGCTCATTTTCTGTCTCAGGTGGAAAACTTTCAGTAATTTAGCATTGAATAAGATGTTTGTTGTTGGATTTTTTGTAGGTTCTCTTAATCAGATTAAGAAATTTCTCCTCATTCCTAGTTTTTGAAGTTTTTATTATGAATAGGTATTGAACATATTCAAATGCTTTCTGTGCATTTATTAAAATGATTATGATTGTCCTCCTTTGTGGGAATGTGATAAATTATAGCCATTAGTTTTGGAATGTGAAACTACTTATGGATTACTGAAATAAATCCTATTGGTCATGATGTCTTGTACTTTATATAGATTGCTGGATTGAATTTTCTAATATGTTGTTTAGGATTTTTATATTTTTGTTCATGACAGAAAATGATCTGTAATTTATTTTAATATCCTCTCAAGTGTTGAGAGCATTGTTAGTCTAGACTTATAAAACAAGTTGAGAGGAACTCTCTCTTTTGGGGGGGAAGAAATTATTGAAGATTGGCATTATTTCTTGCTAAGATGTTTCAAAGAATTTAACCAGAAAGCCATCAGGGCATGGAGTTGTTTTTTTCTGGGAAAGTTTTTGATAACTGGTTCAATTTTTTTAGTAGATATAGGGGATGATTAGATTTTTCATGTTTTGTGTGTGTCAGCCTTTGTAACTTGTGTATTTCAAGGAATTCATCTGTATCCTTGACATTTTCTCTTTTTGGGCTGTAGACTTTCTTCATACAGCTAGCAATCCTTTATAGATTTATATGTAAGAATGAGAAAATAGAAGGATGAAGAGCACAAAGTACCAGACTGGATCTTGTTGACTGGGATATTTCACCCTATGTGTTAAGGCAGAGAGTTTATTCTCATGTTAAAAGATACTTTCAAATTCTACAATGCAGCGGTCTTTGACATATTCACACCAACTGCTGAGATTCTTTCCAGATACCAAGTTCAATTTATTTAGATAAAAACCCCACACTTTTTATTTTGATTTATGTTTATTTTTACTTGTAGGTAAGTGCTAAGGTAAGACCATTCATTTTATGGTAGTTTTGAGCTAGGGGCAAATTTCCATCCACAAACTTTCAGTGCCCCCAATTTTATCCTGCTACTTAGCCCCAATTATTACAGCATTTTTCATCCAAACACTTTATACGTTGTGCCAAGTTCAGATCCCCTTATACCTAAGGCTACTTCTTCCTTACTTTATATGTCCCCATATGTACTTTTCTCATATATACTTTGACGCACCAAGAATGTTTTGTAAACTCTCACCTACTTTTGACCACAATTCTACTGCCTTATTGAGCATATTTAATACGTGTTCACTTTGTTCAATCCAAAATATAAGGCAAATTGTAATCTTTTAAACCAGTAGCAAAACCATGCCAAGAGGATATTGCAGAAGTATAATTTTTCATGTAATATAAAATAGCTTCTTTCAAAAATAGCACAGTTGCCTCCAAAGAATTTGCTTGTTATTCATCAATATCCAACAAAATTGAGAGGTATGAAGAAGTTACACTGAGAAAAGTTTGTACATAGATGATTTGAAAAGAAAGTATTAGAGACTTCATTTTGAATTGTGTCAGGTTATTATATTTTTAAATTGATGCTAAAGTTCTTGTAACAGATCATTTACATAACTGGTCAAATATTTATGAAATAAAATAAATACCAATTATTTGACATTAAAATCAAAATATGTGTTTAGGTCCCTATAATTCAAGCAAGTATGTTTTTGAAAAAATATATGTATATATATACACACACACACTTGCTTTGCTTATGTGAATAATCAGAGTAAAGCATTTTAAAGTGAATTTTTCCTGCTAAAAATATAAAGTTTCTTCCTTTAATAATTTCAGAAAAACCATGTAAAGATACGGACATTTGCATATGGAGGGAATCTGTTTTCCTAGTAATCAAATTTTGTAGCCACCTAACAATATAAATAAAATCATTCTTCATAGGAAGAGAACAAGGAGAAGAATTGACCCAAAATGTTTTACAGTATCTCAGTACATCTTGATATTATAAAAGGGAACACAAAAATTATAATTGTAGGAAATGTGAGAGAACTATTTAAAACACACAATACCTGCTTTGTGAATAGTGAAACATGAGTCAAGGTTTTATGTGTCCCATGACAGCATAAAATGCAAAATTTTTATGATAGAAAATTAAAACCAAGACTATAAATGTCATCTTGTATAGACTTAAATTACTATATCATCCACTATATCTGTGTCCCATCCCAAAATTATTTTAATGCTATGTTTTTACCACCAAATGTCTTCAAATTTGGAATCTCATTCATTAGTCATATTAAAATCTATTTAATTGTCTCTTTTCAATCTCTATGCTACCCTATCCCTGTTGGTTTAAATTTAGGAATAGAAACCAAATGGTCGGTGCACAAGTCAGTTT